TGTGGTGACCCCAACCTCAAAATTATTTTCATTGCTATGTCATAACTAATTTTGCTACTGTTATGAACCCTAATGTAAATATCTGTGTTTTCTGATGGTCTTCAGGAACCCCTATAAAAGGTCTTTCAACCCCCTAAGTTTCGTGACCCACAGGTTGAGAACCACTGCTCTAGAGTGAAGGAACGTCCTTGACCAAGTCTTTTGGGGGTTTTCAAGACAGGGTTTCTCTGTGCAGCCCTGGCTGTCCTGGAACTCACTCTGTAGGCCAGGCTGGCCTCGAACTCACAGAGATCACGTGCCTCTGCCTCCCAAGTGCTTGGACTAAAGGCGTGAGCCACCACCATCCACAACCCTGACCAAGCCTTAAAAGCCAGTGTGGTTTGTAGACCTGTAATCCCAGCTAATTGGGAGACTGAGGCATGGGATGGAAAACCTGCTTGGGTTACAGAGTCAGTTCAAGGCCATCCTGGACCAGGTCTTAAAAGTAAAAGTGCTGGTGGAGAGATGGCTCAGCAGTTAAGGGCACTGGCTGCTCTTCCAGAGGTCCTGAGTTCAATTCCCAGCATCACATGATGGCTCACAGCCATGTATAATGGGATCTGGTGCCCTCTTCTGGCACGAATGTGTATTGCAGCTAGACTGCCATATACATGAGATCAATAAATCTTTAGAAATTAAAAAAAAAAAAGTGGGTGGGGGTGGGGAATGTCGTTCAATGGCAGCAAGCTCGCCAGGCAGACAACAGTCTATAGGTTCATTAGACAATGGGGGGAAATTTCAGGTGAAAGAAGCGTCATGTCCTCCACCCCATCACGTTCAGGTCCTTGGCCAGTGGCGGCTGTGAGCCAGTGCACCTAAGGGTCTGGCATGTTGGAGCCCAGAGAAGGGAAAGGAAGGGGGAAGACTCTTGATTGGGTCACGTGTCTCGTGGGCGGAGTCAGTGCTGTCCTTATGGACCTTGCCCTGTCCTCCACCATTTTCCCCTTCCTTGGGCCTAGTTTCAGCGTTTACAGTCTCTCTCTGGCTCCCAGGTTCCTTGAGACTTACCCGTCACAGTACTAGGCTGTGCGGGGCGAGGGTAGGGGGCGCGGGGACACAAGCTCACCCCAGACCCGGCCCTGGAGTCCTTCATGGTCCTTTCTCTCTCACCACACCTTACCACCTACTCCAGCCCCTCCCCAGGTGTCAGTCTTGGGGACCCCTGTGTTCTGGCCTCTCCTTATAGCCCTGGCTGTCCTTGAACTTGCTGTGTGGATCAGGAACTCAGAGATGCTCCTGCCTGTGTCTCCTGATGGTTGGGATAAAAGGTGTTCAACAAGAAACCGGGACCCTCTCTTTGAGTGAGTTACATCAAACTCAGTTAGTGGGCTGAAGTGTGGTTCAGTTAGGACGCGCTCAACATGCAGGAAGCCCTGGGTTAAATCCCGGGCCACGTCAACAACTAAAGAGAAGGAAGCTAACGCTGTGATGTGAGGGGCTGTGAGAGGACAGCCTGTTCTTCAGTGTGGTCCAGACAGCCTGGGAGGCTCCTGAACCCGCCAGCAGTTGGGGACTCTGCAGCCTGCAG